TGAAGAATTTAATTAAGGAATCCAAATCAAAAGAATTCTACCCAACTTGCATAATTCTTCGGATGTTTTAGTGCATGCATAACTGCCACCAGAGAATTCTATAAGAATAGTAGAACCCTTGATAGCGTTAGATCTATAGGAACAGATAGAACCCTTGATAGCGCAAGGCAAGTGTCGTCTTGGTCCCGCTAGCCTCGTACTGGGACGCAAGATGACCTGAAGGGTCAATGCTCCGAGTTGGGGATCGAGATATTGCGCAGGGTAAAGGAAGTGTGACAACGAAGGCTTAATGATAACCTTACGCAATTCGCGTTCCGGCTACGAAGGATTGGTCGTAAAAACACAGATGGATTCCTCGCACTCATCCTACGCGGGATCTGTATACTTTTCGTCACAGTAAGGACCCACAGATGTTACGGTACAAGAGCCTTTAGTGACCATTCTTCGGCACGCTATAGGAAGCATAGTACCACTCTGCTCACTGATCATCGTTACGAAAAGGAACGGTTACTATCTCCAACTCTACTTATGATAAACCATTTTGGCTCCTCACGCTAACGCGTGCGCGCAGTAGGGCAACTGAAACTTCCCCTGAGCCAAGCTCACCCTCAACATACCTCACTACAGGAATTTTGAAGTTATTCGAACTTTTTGCGGATTTTGGATTTTTTTGCACCCACAGTGGTGCACGCCTTACCCTCAATGGCACTTGATCTTCTTTTCACTATCATAAACTTCGATGACCTCAGTGCCATCCTTCGTCAATGGCGCTTGTACCCCCCTTGTTAGTCCATATCCACTTTTTTCCGTGATTTCAGGGCTGCCTCTGGACCGAATTCTGGAACTTTGGCAGACTCCGTCTACTTCAACAACGCTTCCCCAACCGACAACAATTGACCTCTTATTAGGCTACACTCACCTCCTTCACGGTTTCCTGACGGTCTCGGGACCGAGTTATAGTGCTTGGCAGCAAACTCCGCCCCACTTTCATGCACGTCACGACATCCCATGGCCCGAACCCACTCCTCCTTCGCCATGAGGAGCAAGATCTCGGGCGCATCTCGGAACCGATGTGGCAGTACTCGGAACCAAATTGTGAGGACTTGACTACGCACTCGAGCAGACCCTCCGCCAAAGTGAGTGTAGTCTCACTCAGTCTCTTCAGGTATGCTGGGGACACCCGATTTTGCTCTTCAACACCAGTTTTTTCTGAACTATTCCCCTAACCGAGTTACGAGCTTCTGTGGGCACCACCCACGCTGCGGGAGTCTCCGAAATTCGACTTAGCAACCCAGTGCACACCTTCACTATTCTTTCCAGTCGCCGAACCGTTCTGGAATGGTCTTCAAAATTTCTGCCATCCGCACTACCCATTTGCATGTCCCGCCCACGGTAGTGGAGCTCCAGATGCTGATGTGCGTTTTTCCAAGCCATGCCCCATGCATCAAAAATTTAACGCGAACTCTGCAGGAAAGTCTTCAGATAGTCCGAATTTCGTGACGGACACACACGAACAGACAGACTCAGCGCTTTCTACAGGCAGGGCAAAGAAAGCCACTCTCCCTCCATACTTTTCAAACGAGATGATTACACTTTTCTAAATTCAAACCGAAATTGAGCCAACAACTTGATTTGGAGTGCACACTCCATTCTATGAGAAAACTTCATAATTAGCCTTCTACGCCGATGGCATCGAAACATTTTCCCATGGAAACACGGGTCCGAACTCATCGAGGCCCCCGACGGATGATGGGCCAATATGACGTTATCTGGAATGCTGTTCGGCAAGGAATCTCGCGTACACCAACCTATTTTCTCTAGACAGTTATACATCAACAAACAACATACGACGTGAAAAAATTGAAAATAATATTAAGAAGATTGACCAGGCCAGCTTCAGCTTAGAGCGATTCGGTTGAGCCTTTTTGAGCTCGACAGTGATGGAAGATGACGTTGTGACGTTAACTTTGTTTATTGTTTTACTTTGACTATGTGTTTTCAACCTACCTTTGAATATCGGAGAGCTCCTGCGTTATGTTTATGGTACGAACATCTCCAAGAGGTACATCGAAACAGCCCTCAATTGCATGCACACTATGCTCAAATGACTGTGGTACTACCTGAATATAGAAAAATATAGCCTTGCCTCCGTTCTCCGTAGTAACCCTACTGTTTTTGAATGTGTTAAATGAGTTGTATAACGAGCTTTGTTTTCCAGTCCATATATCAAAACTAAATTAACTGATTACCTGCTGCCACTCACAAATATGAAGTCTTACCATCCTGTTACTGGTATGTGGAGCAGAAACCATTTCCTTCCGATCTAACCCTTAGCGTGGACTTGCTATGAGCGTGGCGTCACAAGATATCACATTCATTTCGCAGTGCTGATTACTGCATCATGCGGTGAGTTGGAAGAGAGTCAGTATGTGTCTTACATAGTTACTTCTGAACCCTAATCGTTTTTTCGCGTGCGCTCTGATATTTTCCTTGCCACCGTTGAGCCGAATAGCCGACAACACTAGTGTGAGTGCTGACAAGCCATGGAAAAAAATATACCATGAAAATTCGAGTAAGAATTCGGGTACCCGACAGGAGGCCCGTCGCGCGGCAATAAGGCAGAGACAGCGGACGAGTCGCAGCGTGCTGTAGTGATTTTGCGCTAAGTTAAATGGACATAGACTTGATATAAACGCGTAGAGGGTTTCAAGGGTCCCAAGGGCATGTTTTTGGGTTCTACTTTCAGAAAAACTATTCTCTGGATACGAGACGGAATTTTACAGAACCCTCTAATGTTCGCGCCCAGTCGATTGTGAAGAAGCCTTCCTGTTTCCTCAACATACTTTTGTTCGCACCCTTGACATTCTGTAGAAAAACTGAACCCGTCAATTGGCGTATTTTATCCTCATCACAGTAACCGCCACCGCTCCTTCCACATATGGCCGGTGTCAGACTTTGAGAATCCAGCACATCGCTCCAGCGATTCGCGAGATACGAGCATTGCGTCAGCGAATCGAGCGCTGTACCAGTGGTTCGAACGATGTAGCAGCAACCCGACAGTGTTTGGAAGTGGCGGGACACGATTTGAACATTGGCTCTCGCCATTTCCCGTGCACACGAGGTGACAGAGTGAAAAGTGCATGAGGGTCGAGAAAGGAGCGGGTCAGACGTGGCAAACAGGAGTCCATCTTTCAACGAGCGTCGCAGTCGCTTTGAGCACGTCGACCAGCTACTACATAGTTCGATACCGCTGTGCAAACGCTCGTACCCCGTGTACGCGTACGCTGGATTCGCAAAGTCTGGCATCGGCTTGTAGCTTTTTAGGCCTGGAGTCTATGAGCAGTCATTTCAAGCTGGGTGGTGAAAGGATATAGCCGTGTCAGAAGCGGAGAATTCCTAACTACATTGTTAACGTTCCATTTCTTTACTTCGTCGACGTGCGGTTACCAGAGAATCCTATCAGGTGTGGCATACGGTTTCCACGACCGCACATTTGAGTTGGAATGACCGGTTTCGTTTCGGGACGAGGTAGGGAATAGTTTCCGCTTCACAGACCAGTAGCAGTACAAAGTGACAGCTGGTTGGTTACTCAACAGTTTTAATATATTAGCTGAAAATAAAGCCTCATTGTGCTACTATTTCATTCATCTATTCCGTTGTTCTTATTTGCAAAATAGCAACAAGGGACAAAAAATTCGTCAAAAGAAGGATTACAAACTTTCGGAAAAGGCTTTTTAGAAGTTTTTTTTGAGGCTCTCGTATTAATATTTTGAAGTCTCACATTGTTGTGTAACATTCAGATCGCCGTGAGCTCAGCGATAGAACCAATACTGAAGATATGATTTCGATGTTAACTGCATGACAATGGCTTAAAAAAAGCGCTGAACCAATAGAGCTAGGCCAGTAGGGATCTAAAGACGAACCAAAAGAGTAAGAAAAGGAAACAGTTTTGAGCAGTGTGGTAGCAATATCAGAGCATCTCGAAAAGCCAAGGACCGAAAGAGCGATCAAATCAAAAAAAAAGCAGGCAGAGCAAAAACCATGCAAAAAACATCGGTACAAATTTCAATCGACAATGCGCCCACTGTCTTCACGATGAGGCGCGGCCGAATTGATATTGCCCGCGACTGCGCTGACGGAGTTTTGTAAAACCTGGGGCGGTATTCAATCCTTCCCCCAGGGGGATATATCCCCCTCCTCTGATTCAATCCTCTGGGGGGACAAAAAAGGGTTGCGTCATAGGACCTAGCATACCTCTGTGTTTCTACCTGCCAGACAGTTAGAGCAGCGCTACTACCCTCCACTGATGAAGCACTCTTTCCCTGAGGGGTCGCGCTGCTCTGACGCAACCCTTTTTTGTCCCCCCAGAGGATTGAATCAGAGTAGAGGGATATATCCCCCTGGGGGAGGGATTGAATACCGCCCCTGGTCTACGGCCAACTTGAACTCAGCCCTTTAAACCGCCTCGATTTGACGCTATCGCCTGCGCTCTCTCGCTTAACCAGCGCTTCACTGTGACCTTATGTATTCAATTTTTTGCCACAATATAATTGGCTCATCCACTACGGAGTCCCTCCTCCCTTCAAGGCTTAGTCCTAGAGCTCTCACCTTCTTGGTTGGGATTTGAAGCCGAGCCAGGCACGTTCTCTAATCGTCTGTGCTCTGGCCTTTCTCGGCAGAGAACATAAGGGAGAGTTCAAGTAGTCACGTAATCTTTGAAACCTACCCGCACAGTTCGCGGGCACTACCAACTCGTCCACGCCCGCCGCGGCCGCGCCCCAAATCGTGAAGAAGCGGGTGAGCCGCACTGCGCAGACGTGCATGTACGCTCTGGTTATTTAGCCTATGAACAGAGGATAACATACTGACAACGACGCCGTGGAACACAAGAAAGGAGAATGTAAGAAAGAGCAAATGAAATAGAGTGAGAGCGGGATGGGGGAAAATGTAGTCGAAACCAAAGAATGCAGTTGACGCAGGCAGTAATGAATAAAATCAAACTACGTGGATTGAAGATGGGCAAAGTTACTGGGAATGGCTGCTAGTCGTATAACTAAGTGCTTTATCAACTTACAACTTCGTATGCATGTTGCTGTAATCCATGCTGACCCAAAATTGCATATGACGAAGCTCCTCGCCAATCGGGCAACCTTTACCGCACCAAATGATCGTGCCAATGCTGCACGGGCGTCAGCAGAAACTCGCTCGGCCACATCCCCGAAGGACACACCGATTATAAGCGAGGACGGAGGCAAGGACCTAGACGATATACATACACTCGAATGATAGCATTGGTAAAATCAAATTAAGAAAAAGCAAGAAATTACTCAACCAGTTGATGAGCTCTCCATCTGAAGCTGCCACATCAAACGAAGCAGATGATTCGACATCTCCAGAAGAACCATTCAGAGAAACAAGATTCACTCCTTTCTTAAGGATGCTGCCCATCAAACAACCTTCAATTGTGGAAATTAAAAGGACATTGAGCAAAAACGAGAAAAAAGCTTACTTTCAAGTCATTCAGACAAGCGAACGGTGGAGAATTTGCGGTCTCTGCGTGCAATCGAAAAAGAATTTGAGGAGGTGGGCAAGACGGATCATAAGAACAGCTGTCTGAATTAAAACATATACACTTGAGACATATTGCATAACATTACTATGCATTCCTTTTAAGGCTATGATGACAGACCCTCATGCGTAGCCGGGAGATCTCTGGTTTCTGGAACTTCATCTGACAACGCTGCAGCGGATTTCGCTTCGTCCGAAACTTGAAAATTATATGAACTTCTCTCGTTTTCATGGAGTAGCATGGCAAATCAAGAAATCAATTATATAAAAATTCTCTCGTTTTCATGGAGTAATGCCAAACAGGAAATCAATGCTATCAAAATGAACGACCTACCACGCTCACTGGCACCGCTTCTTCTGAAAAAAGTTAAGTTCCCAACTAAGAAGAATGAGCATAGGGCAACCATTGCCAGAATAGCACGACGATAAAGCCGCATGATGATGGTGCCCCTTCCTTATTCGATCATTGCCTTCTGAAAACGAGGGGGTAGTACTGATAAACAATCGCTCAACATTACAAAGATAGAACGAGCAGTGGATGATTCCACTTCATGAGTAAATGAAAGATTTTGCCGTCAGAGAATCAAAACTAAGCAGAATGAGACAATCAAACAATTCGGACTATGCAATCCAAATAGAGGTCTCATTCCAGACTATTCTCCAATGAAGGTGCTGAACATGCATGATATTTAGTAAGCGCTTCCTGGATTCAAATCATTTTGGAGGGGATATGACCTATCACTCGTAGAAAACAGGATAGAGTAGATATTAAGAATCCCGTCAAAACACCTGCAGCACGTGAGCACTATAAGACGCACGACTAAAACCACTTCTGCATTTTGCTTCGAAAGAACTTTGAAGTTTCAGAGGAGAAGTCAAACAAGCCTTGTTGGATCTAGACTTACGAGAGATAAAAGGATAAAGCATTTGCCGTTGATCAATCCCGTCTTGGGATGCGGCACGCATTCTACTTCCATTTTACATTCGTAGTGGCGTTTGAATGCGATGTGGCCTATACAATGACTTGCGGGGGCCAGCCGATGTACAAGTCAGTGTTTTTATCCTCCCAGACAAGTCTGGTACCAATTGACCGACCGCCGGAGGGATGGAAAGGACTTGGTTCGGCGGACGAAGCGACCCAGGATCCCCAGTCCCCTTGGTGCGTGCCACTTGCCACTACACCACTTCCGTCCCATTCATGTATAAGCAGATAGAAATCAGCAGTGTGCCATCAACCCTAAAAGGGTGATTGCACACTATGCCAAGAACCTATAGAAAAATCGCGCGCGGACCGGAATCTGATCCCCGGACCGTGCGCGTGGTAAGCAGCTCCACTTCGCCACTACATCAATTATGCCATAACGAGAGAAGGATGTAAGATACCGATCCATATTTTCCTCACAAAGTGTGATCCTAGCTCGGGAATAAATTTTCATATCTGGAGGCACATGTTTGGAAGTCCCCCGCCTTCCCAAAACCGTGAGGAATCAGATTTGTATAATTACCATTGCACAGCTCACTACGCCTGTATTCCAACACCTGGGGGACCAAAATTTCTACGAAAGGAGACCTCATATTTGGAAGACGACACCTTCATCATCAGGGATTTGGGTGGACAGGGCACGATTTTGTACTCGTTACTACGATAAACAAGCTTATACTAGATCAACGGATCCATAAATTCTAGGTATACAACGTTTCTGCCTCGCATTTTTCGCTAAGTCAAAAAGTTTAAGTGTAAAGTCAAAGTTTATGAACAATTCAGTGTAGCTCTTCTTCCGTGAATGTTGATGAAGGATTGAAAAATGAACCCCGCTTCCCGTGATGGAGCGGAGAATAAAGCGCTATGTATAAAAATACAAACTGAGAGAACGTACGGTTGATCGCTACTTCGTATACCCGATATCAGAGTGACCAAGGGCCGTATGGGGTGCTTAACTTATTGGGAGGGGGAGGGGGACTCGCCGCTAAACTTACACGGGAAAAAACGGCGGACGAGTTTTTGGACGAGTTTTTCGCGCGCGCCATATGAATTTGAGGCTCACTCCGTTCATTTCATTGTACGACCAGTATCTTACATCAACAATGGACACGAAAACTGATAGTAGAAGGTAGAAGAAGAAACCAGCCATAGAGAAACCAAAATTCATGCATTAACACAAGATAGGACGAGTTCTGTTATGGTTTGTGTTAAGAAGTCTGCGAGGACGACTGAATTTACCAACGTGCATATCTGTATTTTCCTTTGCTCCTAGAACAATTTAACTGCAGTTCTGAATCCGCTTTCTGATACCCTTTGTGCGGAGGTTCGATGGATTTACAGTGTGGAACGAGCAACAGTTTGGCAGTAAGCTAAACTCGAAAGGGAAGACTCCGATTTACTTGCGACTCATTTACGTGGCTTTGCTGAATTCAGGAGCTATTCTGTGGGACTGTATATTAACGAGGTGCAGATCATTAGTCTTCTCGGTGCTTTGGTGAGGAGGGGAGGCAAGGAGAGGGCTAGTTTTCGCGTAGAAGGAGCTTGTGGAAAATAGTAAGGCTCGTTCAGGGAGGAGCTCCTTCTTCCCTAAGGCTCAGCCTCAGCGGAAGGAGGAACTACTCCGCAAGTCTAAGCCTACTGTGGGTAAGCAATGTCAGAAGTCGGCGTATCCCCCCACCCTACCCCCATGCCACCCTGCTCACATAGTACCGTCTTCTCCGTCGGTGGATGCTTACTGGTCACTCAATCGCAACACAGTCCACAGGTTTACGTTCTACTGCTAATGTGTTAAATGAGAAAAACACAAGTTCAGTTTATACCCTCATAAGTTAATATCCTCATAAGTTATACTTCGGCGCAAAGGAGCCAACTAATACGCGCTTCGCCGCCCTTTCAAGTTTGTTAACAAATTTAAAATGTGGCCCGCTCAGCCACGCAATTGCTAACAGGTTGAAATATTCAGTCCCTAGTTGACCACCCAATGAGGGAGAAGGTAGGGGGGTGTGGGAGTGTATGAGAGAGATACGAGGGACAGAGCGAGGCGGAGGAGGTGGAGAGAGTTGGGGGGGGGGGGGGGGTAGGGAGACGGGTGGGGTGGAAAGAGGGGATGGGAGTGATGAAGCGGGCAATATGAGGGAGGGGATGAGAGGGGGGATGGTAGGAGGAAGAAGGGTGGAGGGAAATAGCGTGCGGGGATGCGAGGTGGAGGGGGGAAAATGGGGCGGGGGTGGGGAGGGAAAGGGGGAGGGGGGGGGTGAGACGGCAAGCTTTGAGACTTTTCAGTCATTTCATTCTTTTCACCGGACGGACTTTTCTGTCCATCCCCGACATGAATGGGCAATGGACTCTTTTCTGCCATGATTTCAGTAGAATTTAGACTGAAAGGGATACTGAACACTAGCTCAACAATGAACTGACCGAGTGAGCCTCAAATTCAAATGGCGCGCGCGAAAGACTCGTCCAGAAACTCGTCCGGCGTTTTTTCCCGTGTAAGTTTAGCGGCGAGTGGAGATGGGGGGCCACGGCGGGGTGGTGGCAGTGCTTTCTTCGTCTCTCCTGCAAAAGGTTAGTCCCATTGGGAGTAATTCGAACTGGGCCGGACGTGAATGGAAAGTATAAATATAACTCTTTCGTGGAGCTAAGCCTTTGGAGGAACAGACAAAGCCCCGCGCCGCCGCGTGGTCTCTCCCAACCAAGTTAGCAATCCTTTCATATGCAACACCGCTGAGATATTTCGCAACAGAAAAAGCGCATAACATTACAACATATCCGAAAAAAGCATAAGAGAATGCGGATAAAACTTTTAACAATTTGTGTGCGTCAAATAAAATGTGGTGCAGGCAGGTTCACACACTGCGCCCTACTCTACGCGCGACATTTATCGACTGTCCCCCTTATAGTGAGGCGATCATTAGCACGTTGACGACAGCGCAGGTTTTGGCTTTTTGCTCCGCATGGGACATAGGGCCGTATAGGGAGATGCGTCCTCCTCCCCAGCCTTGCGGTGAGAGGGGGGCGGTAAGAAAGAGTTGCGTCAAAAGACCGCCATACCTCTGTGTTTCTATCTGCTGGACAGCTAGAGCAGTGCAACTTCTCAGGGAAAAGAGTGCTTCAACGATGGAGGGTGGCGTATTCAATCCTTCCGCCAGAGAACGCATCCCCTTTGGGGAGGTAGTGAATACGGCCCATGGGCGATTAGGCGGGCGCGATTTGCCCTGACGCGCAGCTTGTCCCTCCAGGTGTTTTGGGAACTCACAAGTGAAAACAAGCAAAACAAGGAATACAACTCTAATTGAGAGGAAGGCCTCCGGCGAAGACGCACGCTGCTTGTCTCTACCCTCTGAGCGAAATACTGGCGAAGAAATCAGTGCAAAATATGGGATCGGGAGGCTGGGGCAGTTCAGCAATGAGGGACATGCATAAGCTGGAATGTGCATGTTCACACTATCTCTTCGCATAAATGGCTCCAAACTGAAAGTGATCAAATCACTGCCAAATGTTGAGCGCGAGTACTTTTCAAGTCAGTAGCTTCCACGCAACTGTGTAGGTAGAAGTGGAGAAAGGTTCAAAAAAAGCTAAAAGTAGAAGGTGTTTAAGATATTAAGCAGAAGAGAAGCACTCCAACCTAGTGGAGGAACATTTGAATTATGAGCAGGCATTAGTTTTCTTTAGCTGTTTAGTTTGGTTTACTGCTTCTAGAATTGGTTTTGCATCTTATCACCGTGAGAGGAATCAGAAATACAAGCACTGCATACAGTCGATATCTGAGAGTTGGGGTAGGCGTGTCACCGGAAGTGACGTGCACTTGATAGAAGTTGCGTGGATAAGCTGTTGCCAGCATGCTTTGCTGATATCCAGCGATGTATGTTGGAAGCAGCTTATCCACATAGCTTCTATCAAGTGCACGTCACTTCCGGTGACACGCCTACCCCAACTCTCGGATATCGACTGTAAACATACTTCGCTTCCTAAGACTGTTGCAAAACTCTTGAATTTTAACTGTAGCTTTGATATTAATATCATTCAGGGTACAAATAACAGTGACATGACATAATTCATGT